ACTAAAAGGGCGCACGGAGCACTGAGCACTTGTGTAATATTGCATGTTTTTTTTTAGCAGAATTAACTCCTTTAGTTCATGTTTGAGTGCAAATTAAAGCCTAAATGCACCAAGGCACAGTACCATCCACTCCCTAAGGTGAGCATGTCACTTATTATCATTTCAGTAGCTGAAAGCCACCAACCCTGGTATCAATCTTTCCGATTGGCTCTGTGACAATAGTTTTGACCTCATTATCCTTGCCCCCTGACCATCTCTTTCACCTTACTCATTTATCTCTTCTCCCCCAGTCTTTGTTCCCCTGGTGTATGACCTATATATCACCCTGATGTTGGTCTTCTTTTAAATGTTGGATATTTCCCTGCCATGTCATTGTCACATCATATGATGGAGGGTTTTTATGTGGCTCAATAATTTTAGCTTAGAACATGGATCAATATTACTGAGCTTATAAAAATAAACAGGTATAAAAGTAACACTGTGTTGGCTTTTTAAAAGTTAGATATTTTAGGTCACCAATTTTACAACAGATTATGCAACATGACCTCACCTCTTTTCATTTTTCCTCCTTATCAGTTGAACACTTCAGAGGTTTTAGTTGATGCCCAACTCTATTAAAACTGAGTTATGCCCCTTAAATGTAAAAAAAGTATCTATTTGCTTATAATAATTATCTAACAGTATATCAGTTTCATACTACTCTCATGATATATCCTCAGAGAAATAACACASCACTTTTTTATTCCTCATATGAGAGGTTGATTGGGGCTTTACAACTTATATTCTTCCAATTCATTCTTTTACTCATTTTTTTTACTGAAGAGTATCAAAGCACTGCTTCTGACATCCTTTCAATTACAGAAATACCAGAAGAGCCCTCCAGCCGCTACTGTATATTGTGAGACAAACTCCTTTTGATACGATAGCCTAGACATCCTGACATGCTCCTCCAAATTGAGTGTTGTAGTGATAAAATGCCAGTGAGATATTGTACTTTGATGCTTTTCAGATCACCCCTTGTACAAATGCTACAAATAAATGTTGGCATACTTGTGTTGAAATATCCCATGTACGCTGTACCCACAGGCCTTTTTTATTCTTCCCCATAAACATATGTCAGCTGACCTCACAACTAAAACAGCTTTATCTTTCTGCACAGTTAAAAAAAATAACACTGGTCAACATTTTGTTCACATATTTCATAGTTTAACCTCACAGCCACCCATTCCACCTCAATGCAATGTTTCAGAGTGATTCACATTGTTGTATACAATTGGTATACTACGCAAATGCTCATTATCTGGTGTGTAAGTATAAGATTGTAACCAGATCAGACAATAACATTTTCCCAAAAGTTCATATTTATACAACTTCACCCAAATGACCAATGTTCTGTCACTTTAACTATCCCTAAAAATGTTTCTATACAAGCAGATGTTGRGTCTTTGCTTTTTAAATATTTGAAACAAAAGATCATCAAAAGTTAGAGCTGCAGATTTCCATCCAGGTTAAGTTTACTGTTAACAGCATTATGTCACATGTGCAGGTATAATGAGCATATTTATGTCAGTGTACACACGAACAGAACCTAAATGGAGTATGACTGCTGGCCAGCAAATTTAGAAAAGGTGTAATAAAACTGGAATTTGAAGAACAAATTTTCACTCAATAAACAAAGTGGAGATGAAAATACTTTCAAACACTTAACAACTGTGCAGTGAAAAAATATTTCCTGAACTGTTAAAAAAATGGTTTACCAAGAGAATTTTACTGCTGAATCAAAACACACAATGTAAAAGTCAGCRTCAAAAACACACATCTTGTTATGATTCTTATGTTTTGGTTATTTTTGGTAATATTTTTCAGATTGTTTTTCATTGTTTGGTACTGTCTTATTTTCTCATTTCCTGTTTTCAGTTTCCTGTGCCATGTTTACCCCAGTCAGCTTCTTAGTATTTTTCCAGCCTGCCACACTCACCTGTCCTTGATTGGTAATCACCCAGCTGTTTCCTACTTCCACTCAGCCCTGTTTGTATTTAAGGATCTTCTCTTCATCACTTCAGCATCTGACTATTGCTTACCCATGTTTGCTTTCACTTCATGCTCATGTTCCAAGTTTAGATTTTTTTTTTKTTTTGTTTTGTTAGCTTGCCACCACATTGGCTTTTTTCTTTGTTAAAGTCTTTTTAATTACTTTAAGTTTGGTCTGCCTGCCTGCCTGYATTTTGGGTTCTCCTCACCGTCAAGCCATGACACATCTGGATGGCAGAAAACAAAATGTGTCTTATTTTACTCTCTCTCTCTATTTGTTGATAAAATAATTAAAAGTCCCATTTTATGTTTATTTTAATCATGAAGGTTGGAACTATGACATATTGGGAAACCTCCCAGATGGCTGTGATGTTGCTTGCCAAACAATGTTGTTTTGCTCCACCCCTCATAAAATCTGAATGAATTATTWAAAAAAAATCTTTAAATGCAAAACTGTATTTGTTTACATCCTCAGCAACAAACAGCAACAATATTTATTAAGAAATATAGAGCCCATTGTTTTTTGTAAGTATCTTACTCTCCAGCAGAGGGATAGGACATTAACAAAATAACTTACTCAAATTGTTGTGAGCAGATTTTGGTTCAGTCATATTTTGAATAAGGTAGACCTCATTAGGACATATCGAGATGGTCAGCAATTAAAAAGAGTCTTCTAAAAGGATTGGGGGTTCAATCCTTCATCAGGAAAAAACAAGAAAAAAAAACAATCAGAAAAAAGTAAGAGTTAGGTTGTCAAAAAAGTAAATAACTCAGCATAACAACACACTAGTGAGGAAATAAAAAAAGAAATAAAATGAAAAGAGTAAATGTGATCATGTTAAAAAGATGTTTGTTTAAGCTGCACAATATTTTTGTTATTAACACATATGTATGTGCTAATGATTATCACATTTTAGATTGACCTCAGCAGTCATCATCAACTTGTAAAAAAGATGCTTAAAAGCACAAATAATGTTTCTTAAGATGCTATATTTAATAACACAGAGTGACTGAGTCTGTGTTGTTGTTGGAAGAGGGTTTCAGGATATATGGTGTCATGTCAGAAATTTGTAAAAAAAATGTGTATCATGGTCAAAAACCCACAGTCCATGAGGGGTCTACCCCAGGAACCCAGACTCTTCAAATAAAAAAAAATAACTTTGATCAGAAATCCATCGCCTTGACTGAAACCCTAACCATAGTTTAGTAAAGCCGTGACTATGTACACAATACACCTCTATTTGCTCTCCTTTTTTTCTTGTTCAAGGATTAGCCAGAGGGCAGGGTTTATAAATTCTCTGTKCTCACCATACCATCCCTGCCTCCTCATTTATTTAATCGCGTCACGTCTCTTTTCATTGTATGAGCAAACAGGATCAACTTTTCTGTCCTCCTATTGGCCCTGCTCAGGTCTTTTTAAAGCAGGGGAGGAGCGTGAAACAAACTTGTTTAGACTTCCTTCAAAACTCTGCCTGCTTGGAATAACTGTCCTGGTAAACAGCTGCTGGCAAAACTGTTGCATATTTTTAAAATATCTAACTCCAGGCTGAAGAAAATCATGTGAACATCAAGGGATTGAAAAATGACTTGATAATCTGGGACTACGTGCCAATTACCAGTCTCTGATTAAATATATGCAACATTAAGGTAAAATCATTTCTGTATTCTCAGTCTCAGACTAGATATAGGTCAGCCATGTTTAAATACATTTTATGTAGGCTTCATGTTTGTGCTCATTTCTCTATGTTATGCTCAGTTAAATATTTTAAATGCATGTACAGCTCAAGAAGTTAAGCTCTATGTCAGATTTCAGACCTATTGTTCAAACCTTAGTATTTCAGCGGCATTTTAAACAAAATACAGTATATTTTCAATTAACAAAGTAAAAAGTTAGTCATCATTTAACATAGTGCATCACTGGGGCACTCCTTGTTTTTCTTTCTACCTGCATGGAAACAGGAGAATGTCAACAAACGGTTTCCTTCAGAAACCCAGACAAAGGAGCAGATGTGTGGCAGGAAGATGTTTTTGCTTGTTTTAGAGAACATGACGTTCTATCACAGAGGCAAGCCGAACTCCTTGAACTGTGTTCCACTTTTTTGCAGGTTTTCAGCCAAGAGAATGTGCTCCTAAATCCTTTCAGCATTTTTTAATCAGCTCTTGTATGTCAAACAGGTAGGGAGAGACAGAAAAAAAAGAGAGGAAAAAAAAAAAGAAAAGCTCAGACAATAATTGTTTCAGAGCGGAGGAGGTTTAAAAAAGTTGAAATATGCAAACATAATGTGGATTTTTTTTTATCTACACCTAAATAGGTTAGTTTGTGATTAGTAATGCGTCATTTCCCAGCTTCCAAACACTCTGTTCCCACCGTTCAGTCACATGCTTGTATAAGATTACGTCCCAACCTCTGAGGCTCAAATCCCCRTGTTGCTATGGGAGTTCATAATGTTTGGTATGCTAATTTGAAAGTCTGAAATGTGGTAAATGTAATTGACTTTAAAAGGCTTTCAAAAAAGCTGAAAGGTACAGCTACTTTCACTCACCTTCAGCTTGTTTTTGAATTCACAGAAATGAACATGCTGAAGTAAAAAAATCACAACGTTCCCACTTAGTGTGGACCTTTTTTCATACAAACAAACGATTGATGAGACATCTGCGTAAGCTTTACTATTAATATTTAGATACTCTGTACACCAAGGCTATTTTTCCAAACAGATCGGTATCAAACTGACTATAAAGTTGTTTTTTCTTGTTAATGTTGAGATTGCTGATAAACAGAAACGACTCAATTCTCATGGGTAAAAAAAAAAACAAATCCATTTGAGGTCAGTGAAAAACAAACAGACATTTTTTTTGGCTCCTCCACCCAGAAAACTTGCAACTTGAAACATTTTGTTTAATCTTAGAATGTGTTTATCTATTTCTAAAATAAAATAAAAACCTGAAGAATAAGAAAAAACTAATTAAAACATATGAAATTAATATGCATAGCACATTTTAAAGCAAATGTTATCTTCAAATGGCATGTTTTTTATGCAGTGGATGAATAAACAAAATAAGACTGAAGCTCTTTTTTGTAGGTTGGCCTCTGCTCAGCCAGTTTTGTTCTTCGTATAGAAGTGTGGTAGACTGCCTTCTTGATGCATTCTGTATTTCATTTCAGTATTGTCGGTTTGTTCTGTTTTTTAACTTCCTTGTGTCATAGTGGAAGGACATTCTTGGTTTCATTTTTTTTTCTTCATTTGTCTCATAGGAAGTTTTTCCAAGAAATGTCAAGCTGAACCTCACAAAAACATGGAGAACCGGAGTCTGTGAAACAACAGAATTGGTTAAATTGACACTAAATCTGCATCACTTGTTTCAAAACAGCAACAGATTTTCTGCCCTAGTGCTTGATGCCATCTTCAAGCGCCTTTCCCTTTTTCTGTTGCCATCATCGCCACCAATATGCTGGTGTGCCATGAGGAACTGCTCACCGTTTGTACCGTTAAGCTTTTTGTCACCAATAAAAGTGCATAAAAAAACTTGGTGAGCTGAAGGAGGGGTACTCTCACTATGAAGGACCGACTGGAGGAGCTGCAGCAGAAGGCTCAAGAGGCCCCAGCTGAGGGTATGAATCCATTCTCAGTCGAGGAAGACGGAGATGAATCTGTGGTTGTCGGGAACATCACACCTCAGGCTGTGGTGTTTGAGGAGGAACCAATCATTCCCAATTTCCTCTCTGAGGCTCAGAAAATCCGAGATGACATTTCAGTGCTGGAGACAGAGGTGAGGTGGTGAAATTGCCTTCTTTGTTTTGACAATTAAAAAGAAACAAATTAATGAGCAAACTACAATGCTAAATGTAATGCTTGTTAGTTACACATTTGGAAAAAAAATCTAAATTTCACACAGGCTGCATGTATAGAAAAACTTTGAATCTTTTCTACAAACAGATCCTTAAGTTTGGTCAGCAGCAAAAGACTCTGGTGGCAACAATGCGTCGATTCAGCGTGATGAAAAAAGAGAGCAGCATAACACGAGACATCAAGCTCCAGGCTGAAAGCCTCCACCGGCGTTTAGACACCCTTTCAAAACAGGCCCAAAAAACTGAGGAGCAGCATGGACCGACTGCTGTTACTGCAAGAATACAACGTTCACAGTGTGCAGCTCTGCAGAGCAAATTCCAGCAGGTTGGGAAACACTCCTATTAGTTTGCGTTTGATGTTTAAAACCATTTAGTTTCATTTTCCCCCCTTTTTGTTCGTTCTTTTACGAAACAGCATCATCTGATGTGCTTGAATGAGCTGAAATTTGTCTGAACATAAATAAACAAATTTATTTATTTATTTATTTATTTATTTATTTATTTATTTATTTATTTATTTATTTATTAAATGCAGTCATGACCAGAAACAGTAACTGTTTTCTTACATGATTTTTTTTTGTGCATTAGAATGTACTCACATGGAGTAAAGGCGTAAAGTGAGGAGGCTCACAAAACCAAACATAAATTTTGTTTATGTAAAAAAAAAAAGGAAAATAAAAAGATGGAATAAAATACCCTCTCATCCCTTCTTCACCCCTCCCCTCTTCCATTTTTCTCATTTTCTCCTTCGCTATAATTACTTCCAGGTGATGCGCCAGTATAATGAAGGTCTGCTGACCAAGCAGGAGCGCTGTAAGCAGTTCATTATCCGGCAGCTGGAGGTATCGGAAAAGAATGTTACAGAGGAGGAGGTGAATGAGATGGTCGCCACAGGAAAATGGGAGGTGTTCAACGAGAACCTGCTAAACGATGCCAAGATCACACGTTCACAACTGTCAGAGATCGAACAGCGGCACAAGGTGAGAAAAAGCACCAAAATGTCTCACAAACTGAACCAAACTGCACCCACAAATCTGATCAATATGTATATAATCATTAAATACTTTCATTTTAAAACCAGTTTCCTGCCATGTATTTCTTATTGTCAAATGGAACTGCTTATAATGACATCTGAATCAAATCATATTAACGAGTCACTGAAAAGAAATAAGTTTCATATTAACACAGACATAAGTTCAACTCTTCCTAGAAATAAGCTCTGCTGTTAGAGACACGATAATAAGGAGAAAAGAAATGATTCACTGTATAATGTTTGCAGATTAAGCTCTCCATCGTCTGATTAATGCCTCCCGTTTAATCTCACTATCTTTCCCCGCTAACAGGAGCTGTTGAGCCTGGAGAACAATATGAAAGAACTGAGAGACCTTTTCATGGATATCTTCATGCTGGTAGAGGAACAAGGAGCCAGTATCGAAAGCATCCAAAGCAACGTTGAGCGGACTCAGGACTACATAGCTGTAACTAATGAGAAGTTTAAGGCGGCTGCGAGGTATAAAAAGAAGAACCCAATTCGACAGCTGTGCTGCTGCTGCTGCCCTCCCTGGAGATGCTGCTTGTGAAAACGTCCAGGTTTCCCCTCAGAGACGGCCTCAAATATGCTTCCAAGAAAGTTTCACTTACCTGTGCAAAACAGTGGTGATATTAAAGGGATGGTAATAGTGTTGCAGTTGTAGCTGCTGGACGGAGCATTGGTGTATAGAGAAGCTCAGCAGAGCACAGAAAACAATTAGGAGGGTGAGGGCTCGAGTTTGTATGGGAAGCACTTGTTTCTTTCAAGAGGAGATGAAGCAGCCGCTATTGAAAGAGACAGGTTGGAGAGTGCTACTCACCAACACTGTTGCTTATTGGAGACCTTCRCTGTCATCTGACAGAGGTCACAAAGGAGAGGGTTGGGGGAGGGGTGTTAATACTGCTGCATCAGCGAAACTTGGTAGTCGCCATTTTTCTTGTAAAAAAACATTCCCTTTTTTTCTGCCAGAGGAGCTTTTGTTAATGAGGGCAGAGTTTTTAAACAGGGCATGCACTTTAAGATCTTTTTTTTTTTAATTCTCAGCATAAAACTAAAATTTAACATAATGAAGAGATATTTAT